TAAATTTTAGTTCTGCCATTTACTGACTCATTAATCTTGGCCTAGTTACTTAGCTTCACTGAGCCTCAGTTTTCTTACCTGTAAAATGGGGATAATATAGTACACACCTCATAGGGTTGTTGGGAGGATGAAATGTATGAATATATGTAATATGTTTAGGACGGTATGTGTCACATAGGAAGTGCTAAATAAGTGTTTGCTTCTCTCGTTATTTGATAACATTTTTAGGTTGAGACACTTCTGAAGTATACTAGTTCATGATCTCTCAGTATTCATTGTGAAGTTTTCATTATTGAATATGTAAAATTACTGGGTGATACAGCTAATTCATTTTGATAGTTTGAATTCTACTTTAGAGACTACTTCTAGGTGACCTAAAATGCCAGTAATAAACATTAGTTTAGATTCTTGTGTTACTGGTATTCCCTGTCTTGCTGTCATATAGAAAAGTGGTTCTCAAACTTCATTGTACATTAGAATTACATAGGAAGTGTTAGAGTTCATTAGATTTGGGGTGAAGCCCAGGAATCTGAATTGTTAATAAACGCAGTCCAAGGTAATTTTGACTCTGGCGGTCTAAGGTGATAATTTTGAAATTGCTGCTTTAAAGGCTGAATTCAAGCAGAAAAGATCATAAAAGGTAGTAACTGTCAGATTTTTGTTAGTTTACATGTAGGCAGTGATGATTTGTAAACTATAAAAGCATTTGATTTGGTGTTTAAAGATAGTGGTAATGTCTGTTGTCCTACCTAAATTATTTTGTTAACATCTGTTATACAACTTGGTTTTAGGGACTACTCTATAGAAACAAATGATAGGGGAGATACAGAAAGAAATAATACAAGGAGTCTTTAGGTGAAGAACTATTTGGATGGATTTCTTGTTTTTTTGTGTCATTAAGTAGCAGCAAATATATTCAGTTCATTTTAACCTATGTTTTGGTATGCCTGCTATGGTCAAAGCATGACAAGTTTGATTAGGTAGTTCATCAAAGAGAGAAGGAAGTACAGTGTAAGATTTTTTTTTATTCTCACTGAGGATATGTTTTTATTGATTTTGAGAGAGAGAACTGGAGGGATGGAAGGAGGGAGAGGGAAAGAGGGAGAGGGAGAGAGAGAAGGAGAAACTTCATTGGTTGCCTCCTGTACGTATGAGCCCTGACGGGGGGATCAAACCCGCAACCTACGTATGTGCCCTGAATGAGAATCGAACCTGCAGTCTTACTGGTGTATGGGATGAAGCTCCAACCAACTGAGCCACCTGGCTGGGGCTACAGTGTTTAGTTTTGACTCACTGGACGAAAATAGAATGTGATAGGATTGATTTAGTTGGCACACTAGGTAGAGGAATTCACGTATATTGCGTATGAGCTACATGTCAGGTCTTTTTTATATTATTTAATTTTCATAACAGCTTTGCTAGGTTTTGATATAATTAGTTCTTTTTTACAAATGAGACAATTGAGGCAAAAAGAGATTAAGAAACTTGCCCAGGTCACTAGTAAGTGCTGAGCAACGATTAAAACCCAGACTTTTCCTGACTTCAAAGTTAGGAAAGTTATTATTTTATGTATTAAGTTTATGTAATTGGGTAGTCTTTCCTGCTTATTAGGCAGGAGGACACACAGGACAGGCCCGATTGGCTTGGGAGCTGTTTTTCCTACTCTGGAAAGAAAAGATACAGACTTCTAAAAGTTCTCAAGCTAATAATGTTTGTCTGTCTAATCTAGCCAAACTGTATGCAGAGTGCATTTCTCTTATACGAATTCTGTTTACCCATTACCTTCCATTGGAAAATCTTAAAGATATCTCTCAGAAAATTTGGCATTTAGTTGTAATGAATTTGTGCTTAACAATGCAGAAATATTTTTACTTGGTTATAAGACTTTTGTTCAGCTAGTCTTCAGTTGGTTATTCAGGTTGATTATATAATTTAGTTGTAATTCCAGTTTGGACCTGGGAGGAGGTGAATGTAACTTCCACCTACTTTGCTGCCATCTTCCCAAGAATGCAGAAATATTTTTAAAATTTATAGTCAAAGGATAAAACTGATGAGCCAATTTGAAATATTGTTATCTTTGTTCCTAAACTTACATCATAGATTTCTTCTAATATAAATTATGTTGTATCTGTATGTTTTACTTGACAACTGGAAGTTTCCTGGTGGCCAGAATGAGTTCATTTTTAACGTTTTTTTATTTACTGGCATCGGAGAGAGAGTTACTGCATTTTTGGTTTCTGCTACATAAAGAACCAGTACAGCCCAGACGGGTGTGGCTCAGCGGTTGAGCATCGACCTAGGATCCAGGAGATCATGGTTCGATTCCCAGTCAGGGCACATGCCCAGGTTGTGGGCTTAATCCCCAGTTGGGGGTGTGCAGGAGGCAGCCGATCAATCAATGACTCTCTCATCATTGATGTTCCTCTCTCTCTCTCCCTCTCCCTTCCTCTCTCTGAAATCAATAAAGATATATTAAAAAGCACACACCAAAAAATCAATACAGTATAAGACTGCTCTTTGTGAATGGTCTCCTGAAGACTGTTTTGATGGAATTTCCAGATATATCTATTTAAATTATTTCTTCTTTAATATAGCTTTCTTTGGAATATTTTAGAAGAGCTGTAACCTTCTCCATCACAGCTTGTAAAAGTTTGTGATTTAGCCATGTGCAGTCATATTCATTGCTTTAATCATGGAAACTTTTTGTCTCAATTTCTTCTTCCTTGGGAATTTTAATGAAAATTTCTAGAAACCATAGCTTTGCCACGCTAGAAGTTTTAGGTTTATAGCCAGCCTATTGACCTTGTATTTGCTTGTTAGTGTGGGCTATAAGCCTTAAAAGTGAACACTAGATACAAAATGAAGATACAGAGCTTTATATTCAGGGATGACAATTAATTTGACTTCTCCCACGATTAAAACTTAAAAACAGCATTTATCGTAGATATTTTTGAGACAGAGTTTCAAAAGCGATCAAGGTGATTGTGAAGTTACTTGATAAATCCAAATCTTACTATAATTTTATTGATTCTGAGAATTTTATCCCACATTTAACACCTCTGAATATTGGATATATTTTAAAATCACTGTCTTCTTAGAATCTGTGAAATAGAGTAATTAGGAATTTAGTTCTGCTGCCCTAACAGTCCAAATTACTAGGGACTTAATGAGAAAGAGGTTTCTTTTTTGTGTGTGTAAAAGTCCTAGAAGGCAATCCAGGGCTGACCCCTCCTATTGTGTTACTCATTCTTAACATGTAATTTCCTTCTTTCTTTTTTTAATCCTCACCTGAGGATATTTTTTCCATTGCTTTTCAAAGAGAGTAGAAGGGGGAGAGACACAGAGAGAGAGAAACATCTATGTGAGAGAGATACATTGATTGATTACCTCCCACACACATCCTGACTGGGGCCAGGGATCAAGCCTGCACCCTGGGTATGTGCCCTGACCAGGAATCGAACCGTGGCCTCCTGGTTCATAGGTCAACACTCAACCACTGAGCTGTGCCGGCCAGGCATAGTGTGTGTATTTTTAATCCTCACCCAAGGATATGTTTCTATTGATTTTTAGAGAGAGAAACACTATGTGAGAGAGAAACATTGGTTACTTCCTGTATGCACCCTTGACCGGCCAGAATCAAGCCCGCAACCTTTTGTATGCATCCTGACCAGCCGGAATCAAGCCTGCAATCTTTTGGTGTATGGCATGATGCTCCAACTAACTGAGCTACCCGGCCAGGGCAGAGGGTAGTGTTTCTTTTTTATTTCAGAAAAACTGTTAATCTGACTCTAAGATGCCATTTATCCCAATTTCATAGATGTCAAAATGTGGGGGGAAATGGCTGGTAATGATTGTAAGGGATTTTGAGTAAAGACTTGTTCTGATTTTAGAGATGTTTAAAGGTGAAAACATGCATCTCAGAATTGATGAGATATAATAAATCTTTGGTGCATTTGTAATCATCATAGCTTCTTAGAATGGGGGACTACAGTAAGAGAAGCTAAAGTAATTATATCTGTTTATAAGTCAATATGCTTTAGAGTGATTTGACTTTCTCATTATAAAAATGTAGGTTTTGGCCTTTTTATGCCATGAATATTGAATTAGTAACTAGGCAACCTGGTGCTAAAGCAGCTGCTGAGACGAGGGATTACCCTGATCTTTGTCTGGTTTCTCATGTTGCTTACCTCTTAGAGGGTGGTGGTGGTGCTCTGCTGCTTGTTGGTTATAGAGTATCTGTAGCTCTACGGTTGGATATATGGGCCATTCTTTAAAGCAGTGGCTTTTATATTGTACTCTAGTACACATACATGTATACACACATGTGTGTGCACATATAACTGAAAGAAAAGTTTCACAAAATATTTTACACACTAAATGGGATTCCTTCTAAAATAGAAATAGACTCTTTCATTATAATAAATATGCTGCTTTAAAAAAATTTTTTAAGATACTTTTTTTGTTAATCCTCACCCAAGGATATTTTTTCCCCATTGATTTTTAGAGAGTGGAAGGGAGAGAGGGAGGAGCTGAGAGAGAGAGAGAAACAGCGATTGGTTACCTCCCTCATTTGTGGGCAATTCTCTAACCACTGAGACACACTGGCCAGGGCAAGAAATAGGCTGCTTTTTACACCACTTTGAACTTTAAATTTTTATTTATTTTTAAAAATTTCTTTTTATTAAAAGAATTACAGATGTCCCCTGCCCTTTATTGATTCCCTCCTCCCACATTCCCCCCCCCCCAGGTTTTCCCCACACTATTGTCTTTGTCTATGGGCTATGTATATAATCATAGCTGAAACAATGAGGCATCAAGAATTTGACTTTTATTTATTATTGTGGCTTTGAGCAAGTCACTATTTCTCTTTAGGTTCTTTCAGTCATAGTAGTTGGGGTGCTAGTTCTGTTTTTGCTCTGAATAAGTGAACCTGTTTCTAGGTGAAGGCAAGAACATATAGATAAGTACAAATAAAACAAATATCTTTAATCTTTTTGTAGGTCATCATCGGATTTGAAATAATTTAAAGTGGATAGAGAACTGTTTCAGCAATGCAGACAATTAAATGCGTTGTTGTGGGCGATGGTGCCGTTGGTAAAACATGTCTCCTGATATCCTACACAACAAACAAATTTCCATCTGAATATGTACCTACTGTAAGTATAAAGGCTTCATTTGTTAGTGAAACATAATAATTTGATATCCTTTTGAAAATTCTTTCTCTGTGTGTACTGAACTATTTCTGTTGTCTGCCTTTGTTTCCTGTTTTTAAAGATCTTGACTTCTCATGGGTAAATTATATACACTTTAAAATTAAACAGCTGAAAAATCAGTGGAAAGTCAGAAGGGGTGACACAAGGGTTTGCAAGAAGTGCTGGGAGGCAAAACTCCAATAGACAAGATTCTAAAGAGTGGTGGTCTCAGTTTGGAGAAGTATGCCCTACATCTTGGAATGAGGTGACTTTTTTTTTTGATATCTTGGCCAATGATTAATCAGTGCTTGTAGGTCTTCTGGAATGCTTTTTGGGGTCTTATAACTTCAGAGAAAGTAGTATGTCTCTCCTTACTCTCCTGAGGGAGAAGAGAATCTTAGGGAGCTGCTGTCTTAGTGGTAATGGAGCTCCAAACTGGTTTTGAGGGGTGGAGAAGACCTGCTTTTGTTATGGGAACACCAACAGAAGCCTTTGGGGGGGGTCCTCTCCCACAAATCTTTTTATTAGCTTCTTGGAAGAGTAGAGGGAAAATGGGAATAACAAAGATAATGAAGTGAGAGAGAGAGTTATTTAGAGTAACACTCACTTTTGAAAGAGTATGTTTGGGGATCCAGTGTTTGTCCCAGGTTGTTGGACCAACCTAGTGGTATAATTATGTTAAACATAGATGTCCATTCAGTGATGAGAGGGGAGTAGGGTTGGCCTGGCCTGGCAACATCCACCTCTATTAAGTGAGCTATTTTAGGGGATATGAAGCCCCTATGTAGGTTAATATGGGATTAATATTGTTTGTAAGTAAAAGGGAAGAAAATATATGAGTACTTTAGGTTACTCTTCAGAGACATAAGCATTGTTAAGAGTGTGAATTGTTAAAGGCTTGGTAATTGTGTTTAATTGGAATTGACAGTTCCCAAGGCAGGTAAAGTGAATGAAGTAGGCCAAGATTAGGTTTCTTGGAGGGGGAGAATTTGAATGTATAATTAAATACAAAATCATATTTTTGTGTTGGCCTATTTGGGAACATTGTAAGAGAAAGAAATCCTGAGGTTGAAAGGGACTTTCAGGGGATTTTTATAGATACGTGGATCTTATTTCAGAGTGAGGGCAACTATCAGAATTTTTGTTTCAGTTTCCATTAACATTATTTTCGTTTAAACATTTCTCACTTTTATGACTTTGGTAGGTGTTCTCTTTAAGGTGTGCTTGTGGGTGCTTTCTGTATGTGTCTGTATGTGGATCTCTGGAAGAGGGTTAGATATGACTTAAGAAAATAACCTGTATGGTTTGAGAGTTTAACCACATTAGTTACATTTCCTTGTTCTTGTTATCAAGAACTGACTTTCCTTTAACTACCACCTCCCCCATGCCCTTGCTTCCACTCTTGTTTATATTTAAACAAGCTCCTAACCTATTAAAACATGAATCAGAAAATTAGTGTTAGATAGATAAAAGGTGTCTTGAAATGTAACATTCTTCTAGTTGGAAAGCATTGCTTTTTAATTGTAAATTAATTCAAAGACATCCATGAGTTAGTGTTGGGTCTTTATCTGTTTAGCACCGTTATCTCCCATTTTCATAAGTAACTTAGTACAACCATATTAGTGTATATTGAGTTTGTCATGAATTTTTACAGTCTATTTACAAATAAAATATCTAGTCAAGATAACTTAGGTCATGTGATTTGTACCCAGTAACATAAGTTTTATTCATGAAATTCCAACAAATAATCTGCCAGCCTTTTCTTAGACACTTTCCTTGAGTACCTTGAGGGAACCTTATTTTTCTCTGATGGACCTATTGGCAACAAGGCTCTTCTTATCTTGAACCCTGAAGGGAAAAAGATTATCATGGATCTAGGAGATTTTAATTCTAGATTAAAAGGAAATGGTCTATGAAGAAATAATCTCTCAGAAATCAGATTGAACATTGAGATAAAGTTTAAAGTACTGTCTCAGAATTTTCAAACTTGAACAGGGTCATTTTGTATAGCTAGGGACTCTTCTCCTGTGACATTTCTAACCCTTCTGCGGCTTTTTATCCAGGCTGCTGGGGTAGAGCAGACATTCCAGAACACATCCCTTGTCATTTTTTCCAGTAACCATTGAGCTCATGCAAGGGCTTGGTTGACAAGGTTGGTTATATGTAAGGAAGAGAGGCTAAGAGAGGAATCAGTCTTAGGAAGGAAACACCACCTTAGCTTCAGAATTGTCCTATCTTATTTTGACCATTGCCTTGCACACTAACAGTTTATTTTTGTGTTTTTAGGTTTTTGACAACTATGCAGTGACAGTTATGATTGGTGGAGAGCCATATACTCTTGGACTTTTTGATACTGCAGGTGAAAACTTGATATCTTTTATAATGTTTTGGTCTGTAACTCTGACAGTTGCTGGTTGGTTGTCTTTTTTGGACATTTTTGGGTAACGCATATTAGCAAACCACTTGCCTTTTTATTTTTATTTTTTTATTTTTTAAAATATATCTTTATTGATTTCAGAGAGAGGAAAGGAGACAGAGAGAGAGACAGAAAGAAACCTTAATGATGAGAGAGTCATCAATCAGCTGCCCCCCACACACCCTGGACCGGGGATCAAGCCCCCAACCTGGGCATGTGCCCTGACTGGGAATCGAACCTCGATCTCCTGGATCCTAGGTCGATGCTCACCCACTGAGCCACGCCCAGCCTGGCAGATACTCCTTTTTAATACATAGGATTGCTGTAGCTCAGTTTTGAAATTAAACCCTTCCTCTTGACTCCTCCCCTTTCCTTCCAGTTTTGGAAATGTGTATGGCTATTTAAAAAATCTTTTTACCTGAAAATAATTTCAAGCTTACAGAATAGTTGCAATAGGAGCCCCATATACCCTTTAACCAAATTTACCAATTGTTAACATTTTGCCCTGTTTGCTTTATTATTATTTTTAAACATATATGCACATTATTTTTTCTCCTGAACTATTTGAGAGTAAATTTCATACATCATAGCAGTTTAGCCTTGAATAAGTATGTATTTCTTAAGAACATTCTTATGTAACTAGAATTAGGAATTTGACCTTGATACATTACTTTAACGTCTATATTCCAGTTTTGTCGACTGATCCAAGTCCAGTGTTTTCTGCTTTCAGTACAGGACCATACATTGCAGTAGTTGTCATGTCTCTTTATTCTCTTTCAATTGGATCAGTTCTTTGGCCTTTCTTAGGCTTTCATGAAATTTTTTTTTTAAATTCTCACCTAAGGGTATTTCCATTGCTTTTGAGACAGAGAGAGAGAGAGAGGGTGGGGGAGAGAGAGAGAAACATCGAAGTCAGACAGACATATCGATTTCTTGCCTTCCACGAGTGCCCTGACTGGGGCTGAGGATCAAGCCTGCAGTCTAGGTATGTGCTCTTGGCTGGAATCAAACCCGGGACCCTTCGGTCTAAGGGCCAACACTAGCCACTGAGCCAAACTGGCTAGGGCATGACATTTTAAAAATCATGTTATTTTTATATCATACAAGCCCATCCTCTCTTCCTCCTCCCGTTATAAAATGTTCCTCATTTTGAGTTTGGTCTGTGTTTCCTCATGATTAGATTCAGGTTATGCTATTTGTTTGGAATTCTACATTAGTGATGTGTCTTTTTTAGGATGTAAATCTGGAGGCACGATATTCTGCCACTCAGTGGTGATGATCATTTTGATCACTCAATCAAGATGATGTCTGGTTTCTTCACAGTGTATTTATATCCCCCCTCCCCCCGTGGTTTATAAAGAATCGTTTAGACTGTACAGATAGTCTCCTTTTCGCCAGAATTTCTCCCCATGGGTGTAGCATCCATTGAGTATTGCTGAGTTATTTTTTTCTAGGCATTCTTAGTTTCAGATACTGGTCTTATGTGCACACATTATGAACCTGTTTTGGTAGTCACGAATGGGCAATGAATTTTGTAAGCTGGGTCTCACTGAGATTTTTGTTTCCTTAGGTGGTGTCAGTGTGATCATTTGTTAACCAGATCTGAGTAGGATTAATTTTTAACCATTTCTGTAGCAACAGTTTACTGTGTTTATTACATTATTGTTGGATTGCTAATAGACACAAGGATTGAAAACTATAAACTGGTAGTAAAGCAAATAATATATACCATTCATTGTATTCTAATGGCTTGAAATATTAAATAGACTTAGCCCAGTGAGAATTTTCTCAAATATTATGTTATATAAAGCCATACATTTTATTAGATAAGTTGCTTTCTTGTTAATAATTGTGCTGTTAGCTGCATACTTAATTTGTTGACTGACTTGTGATTTTAATACTATGAGGACATCAGGATTGAATTGATGATTTCTCTAATTTTTTTCCTCCCTAGGGCAAGAGGATTATGACAGATTACGACCGCTGAGTTATCCACAAACAGATGTATTTCTAGTCTGTTTTTCTGTGGTTTCTCCATCCTCATTTGAAAATGTGAAAGAAAAGGTGAGTCAATCAGGTATTCTTGTCCTGAAAAAGGTTGTCACAGAACTTCTATTGACTTGTAAATATTTTTAGAGGCTTGTGGGTTAACGAAGGTGTATTTTTTAAAATACCTTTTCTCTAGTGGGTGCCTGAGATAACTCATCATTGTCCAAAGACTCCTTTCTTGCTTGTTGGGACCCAAATTGATCTCAGAGATGACCCCTCTACTATTGAGAAACTTGCCAAGAACAAACAGAAACCTATCACTCCAGAGACTGCTGAAAAGCTGGCCCGTGACCTGAAGGCTGTCAAGTATGTGGAGTGTTCTGCACTCACACAGGTAGGACTGTGCGGGACCTGATTTTTATTTATAGCTGAATAGTTTCTTAGAGCATTAGGATTCAGGGGTTGTTTCTAACAGTGGCCTGCAATGCTCAAGAAAGTTGCCCAGGAAGACTGTGATCAGCTTCATAGTGTATATTCTTTTGCTGGAGGTCTGTATTTAGTCTCTAGGTAAAGTTCTTTTGTTGGTGAACTTCCATGTTGTACTGAGTCATTTGTAGTGGTCAGGGATTGTGTTAAAAAAAATTTACAGGGAAGGTCCAGCTGAGCGCAGTATTTACAGTAATACCCCTTCCCCCAAATTTTCATCTAAATAGAACTGATCTTATCTGTTCTGACAATTGATGCTATACTGTTTTAGGGATAGGGAATTAGTCATAATAGAGACTTGCATGTCAAAGAAAAGTTGTGATGGCTATTTCTCAAGCATGCTTATATAGTGTCTCTGTTCTTCAGTTTTTGGAGGCATTCTTTCCTTATGTGGCCCTCTTTTCTCTGTATCTGAATGATTTAATGGGAACTCTTCTCATAGCTTGATGGGAAATGTCAGATTCTGCGGAGAGGGAGCAGTGTTAGAGTGTTTAGACTGAGAGTTGTAACTGACCTGTATGGATTCATCTCCTCAACCTTCATGGTTATTGCCGACCGATTCTCCTGTTCTATTCTCCATCTGGGGTCAAAGGAAAGAATTATGGAAATAATTTGCACAGAACTCTTTTATTTTACTAGTTACTGGTGGCTTTGACTTTTGAACAATTAGCAGACATGCCTAAGTAAATTAGGGCAGGGTTGAAGGGAAGAGATATTTTTAGTTACATTAATCTTGATTATATGTATACTAAAGTAAATGGCATATATAGTTGCATATTATGCATATATTAGGTATTTAGTATGTGGGGCCTACACATAATTTAATAATCTTCAGTTTAGCAGTAGGTTGGATATTTAAAGATAAAATTTTCATGCTTATCTGGATATTCCACAGGATAATTTCAAGGCCTACTATTCTCCCAGACCCAGTTTTCCTTGGTAGTTTAGTTTTATTGTAAAAGTAGATATTTAAAACAGTAAGATTTTACATCTTCTCACACACAGCTCTTAAATGAGATTTTAAAAAATGCCTGATGCTTCTGTGTTTTGATACCATCCTCAGAAAAGTGTGTGTTTGTTGGGGAAGGATATGTATGGAACATGTGGGTCAGATTATAACTAACTGTATGCATCTTTTGCATACCCCTTTTCTCTAAATAAGAGTTGCTTTGGGGGGAAATGGAGACAAGTAGGCCATGTGGACCCAATTTTAGGTCACTGGTGAAGCTTATTATACAGAATTGGATGCTTCCATATATGATTGTTTTTACAGTATGCACATGTTTAAGTATAGTAAGTCACTTTGCAGAGAATAAGAAGTTGAAATGGTCTTAGCAACTATACTTTTCTTATCAGATTTTGAAGTTGGAGAAGTTAAAAGAGGACAAGATAGAAAATAGGGTCTGTGGTTATATTTGGGAGCTAGAACTTTTAGGACTCCAGATTCTGTTTGTTGGTTCCTCTAAAAGTAAACTCTTTATATAATCAGATCGTGTGGGTAAAAGCAAAGATTTGTTTTGTAGGGGATTAGTTGATCTTTGTCAATAAGCAAGAAAGGATTTGCTTCTTATTAAAGAGATGCCCTAGTTTCTCATAGCTGCCCTCCACTTTTTTACCTCATAAAATGTATTTCCCTTTCCATTCTCCATTTTTCCTTTTTTAAATCCTCATCTGAGGATATTTTTCCCACTGCTTCTCAGAGAGAGTATGGAAGGGAGGGAGGGAGGGAAGGGGAGAAAGAAAGAGAGAGATAAGGAGAGAGGGAGGGAAGGAAGTGGGGGAACATCAATGTGTCCTGTGAAAGAGACACATTGACTGGTTGCCTCCAGCACTCGCCCAGACTGGGGGCAGGGAGCAAACCCGAAACCCAGGTACCTGCCCTTAATTGGGAATTGAGGCCCTTCAGTGGGCCGCTGACGCTCTAACCACCTAGCCACACCGACCAGGGCTCTCCCGTCTTCCTTTATATTTGACTACCAGAATTTGCTCCTAGATGTGTAGAAGGAATTTCAGAGGAACTTTAATTTTTGTTTAGCATTTCTACTTTGTAAAAGATATGGAAAGAAGAAAACTTTTTGACCTCTTTCCTTCTTTTTAAGTACTTACTGTTATTTCTGATTTATTTTGTACCTAATAGAATGTGTAGGTGTCAGTCCTCTGGGATGCCATGGTGGGGATAGGGTGGGGGTGGGAGCATGTAGGGTATTCTGGGGCTGGCACTTGTTATTAGAGCTGTATTCTGGGACACTTGTGAAATTTTTTTGGGATCAAACTGACTTAAAGGAACATGTGAAACTTCTTTGGGTGGTAAACCTGTGGCTTCAGATTTAGGTGAGTTTAGGGGAGTCTGTAGACCTGGGCCCAAGGTACCAGTACTACTGAGTCACCCTGTCACGTTGGAGTTCTGCTTGAGGTGTAAGTGTATTTATGCATCTTAATCCCTGTAGATCTGAGATACTCTTTGTTTTCACTCCATGCTTTTATGCCTGATACCCATGCAGACACCTTAAAGCACTGGACTGCTTGCTAAAACTCATTCTAGGACCCATGCTTTGTTTTCCTATAACTTGGGTGGTGGTTACTTGCTCTGATAACATTACTGAATAACTGAAGTGTATGCTGTTTCTAGAGTCTGTTCTTTAAACTTTTCCCAGTTGGTACTGTTGAACAATTAACACTCTTTCTAAATGTCTGAACCTTTTTGCTCTGGGAAACTGGTTAACTCTGAAATCCTGATTAATCCCATCCAGCTATGTCATTGAATCTAGAAACATGTAGCATGCCTGTTAGTCTGCTATTTGTGTCCTTCAGTTATTCAGGGGCTGAATTCACAGAATCCTGAAATTTAATAGATTTCAAAATGTGTGTGCCATTCTTATAATTAGAAGTACTGGGGAATTTACAAGGCTTAATTATACAGTGAATCTATTCTTGTGTTTACATATCTACTTTTCTCTCCTGGCATTATTTTCATTAAAATGTTGCGATACTAGGTTTCAGAGTGTGATTGTTTTAGAAGTCAACATATGGCACTTTCATAAAAATTGCTTTCTTGCTCAGTTTAGTTAACCTTTATTTATTGTTATTTATTTTATTATTTTAAAAAATATTTTTATTGATTTCAGAGAGGAAGAGAGAGATAGAAACATCAATGATGAGAGTCATTGGTCAGCTGCCTCCTGCACACCCCTTACTGGGGGTCAAGCCCACAACCCAGGCATGTCCCCTGACCGGGAATCGAACCACCATCATGGGTTGATATTCAACCACTGAGCCACACTGGCTGGGCTATTATTTTTTATTTTTTTGTTAATCCTCACTGGAGTATATTTTTTTCCATTGATTTTGAGAGGGGGGGAGGGAGAGACAGACGGACGGGGACACACACACACACACACACACACACACACACACACACACACAGACACACACACAGACACACACACAGACACACACACAGACACACAGACACACACACACACACAGACACACACAGACACACACACACACACACACACACACCCCCCAATGTGAGAGACACATTAATTGGTTGCCTCCCAAACGTGCCCCTATGGGGGCCAGGGAGAACCTACCACCCAGGTACATTCCCTTGATCAAGAATCGAACCCAGGACCCTTCCGTGTGTAGCTGATGCTCTTACCTATTGAGCCACACTGGCCAGGGCTCAGTTAAACTTTTCGAAGAAGTTTCTGTTCAGTTATGTACTTTCCCTGTAATGGGCTTAAGTTCTACATTCTGGCATTTATTTTTCTTAAGGCACATTGCTTCTGTGAATTCAGCCCATTTAATCCAGACTGCTGTTGTATCTGCTAGTCTTTCTAATCCTCTAACCTGGCTGCTATTCTCTCTCCTCCCCTCTGTCTTGTAGAGAGGTCTGAAGAATGTGTTTGATGAGGCTATCCTAGCTGCCCTCGAGCCTCCGGAAACTCAACCCAAAAGGAAGTGCTGTATATTCTAAACTGTTTTCTCCTTCCCCTCTTTGCTGCTGCTTCCTGTCCCACTACTGTAGAAAGATCATTTAAAAACAAAGGAATAAAACCATCCTGTTTGAAAGCCTCTGCGTCTTTTTACTCACCACCTTAGAGCAACCTCTGTATTAGTTTTTGATTAAGAATGCAATATCTTATAGAATATTTTTTGTGATCAGTAGTCAAGTTGGACTTGTTTACTTTCTGCTGCTTGAGTTGCCTGATGCTCAGAGCTTTTTGGTTGGATTACTATTGCAAAAGGGAACTTGGTCTGGTGTTAAGAATGTCCTCTTGGAGAAAATAAGAGTTTTAACACTTCTAGATCTTAGTTCTAGATGGAGAAAATAACACAAACAACATTTTACTCTTATGATCAATTGTTAATTGTAATTGCATGACAAACTTTATGGAAAAAGGGTGACTTGTTAGTAGAGTGTAATGGGGAAGGGACGATTTTTTTCCTGGTTTTCCTTTGTGCGGTGAAATTTTGTGTTGCTCTTGCTTTGGCTGTCTGTGCTGTAGTGGAGTATTTGTCAGTCTGGGGTGGGAAAGGTATTGATGTATCTGCTACTGCGTTATGAGATTATTTGTTACATTATCTTTTAAGAATAGCATCCATTTTAACAGTTGACTTAAGGTTTGTTAATGTTGAGATGTAAAGCTGCCACCTTTATATTTTCCTGCTTCTGATTTTATCGTTGTGAGGGAAACATACAATTGTGGTTACCTTCAAATTTTGAAATTAAAAATATACAATTGTTTGTATAAATGCCTGATGAAGCTTTATTCCTGTTGCACTTGACTGGCTCTAGCTTTACATATGTATCAGGTACCTACATTTTGCTTCCTTGAATCCCCTTGGCTCTCTCTAATTGGTGGGATAAAGGGAGTTCAGAGTGAATATCTTTGCAGCCACTGTAATCACTCTCTCCATCTTTGCCTGCGCCTTCATGTAATAAGGATGCCACTGCCCGGTGCCCATCCTCCCAGTCCCGTTTCATATCCAGCTGTTCCATTTGAATGCAGAGCTGCTTCACTTGTTTTTATGTACAATGTTTCAGCAACACATTACAAAACTCATATTGAATGAGCAAATGACACATGTGCTTGTTTGCTTCTTGTGACATACATTGGTCTGCAAAAAGCTTTTTCAAAGGACCACTGTCTCACTCATGAATATCTGCTCCTGAATTGCTGGATCCTTCCAGGGCCCTGCCTGGACAAAACTTGGTTAAGTGAGATGATTGTGTTGAGAGTCAGGATTGTTTTTAATGTTTTGTTCTTTGCCAACTTTTGGGGGTTTGAATGTTTTTAATTTGAGCTCCAACTTTATTACACTGAAAATCAGACTGCCCATTTTTTTCTTTCTACCCCTTTTCAGAAAGGCCTAAAGAATGTATTTGATGAAGCAATATTGGCTGCCCTGGAGCCTCCAGAACCGAAGAAGAGCCGCAGGTGTGTGCTGCTATGAACATCTCTCCAGAGCCCTTTCTGCACAGCTGGTGTCAGCATTATACTAAAAGCAATGTTTAAATCAAACTAAAGATTAAAAATTAAAATTCGTTTTTGCAATAATGACAAATGCCCTGCACCTACCCATATGCACTCATGTGAAACAAGGCCCATAGGTATGGTCCCTTTCCCCCCTCTCAATACTAGTTAATTTTGAATACTTGTATATTGTCAGAAAAGTGATCAGTACTAGTTTTTGTTTTGTTGTTTCAAAAAAAAATTTTTTTTTTTTTTTTTTTTAAAGCAAGGCATGCTTGTGGTGACTCTGTAACAGACTAATTCGGGTTGTTGAAGCTGCTCCTGGGCTCCTCTCTGGGGAGCCGTCTGGGGCATCTAGGGTTTTGTTTTNTCCCGGGCTCCGCTCTGGGGAGCTGTCTGGGGCATCTAGGGTTTTTTCTTTTTGGGGGGCGGGGGGAGTGTGGGTTGTTTTTATTCAGCCGTTTCTAGGAAGTTCATTAACCGCTGGCTAGCCCCTTGGGAGAGGAGGACGGTATGGTGGCGTGCCCCTCTTCCCAGCTCGTTGGGGCAGCGTGCTCCGCCTGGTGCTCTTAGGGAGGGTGCAGCGAATGCCTCATTCCGGACCGGGCTCCTTTCTCTCCACCCTGAGCAGGTTCAGTGCTTGATGAAACTCATGAAAGTGGTGGAGCCTGTCTTGCCCCTCCTCTTTTCTAGGATGCACTATATATGTGACTGACTTTCAAGGAAATTTGTCAGCCATTTGCTGATTTTTTTTTAAGTTAATCTCTAACTTTCACTGATAAATGGAGAAAAGTATTGCACCTTTTGAAATACACCAAATGGATTAAGTACATAATTAAAAAAAACAAAACATTTTTTCCTTGTCAGTCACTGTCTTATATGCTTAGCATAGATGTGCAGCTTAATAGTGTATGATATGGTGTTCCTAGAACACAGCTGAAGACCTGGTATATATGAGGTGTGGTGCTAGAAGACAGATGTCTATGGAATGATTCACATCCTCTTCAAGTTATGAGGATGGAGACCTGCTTCATTAAGAAGCTAGGGGTGGGGTGGGGGTGGGGAGAACATTTAACAACATGGGGACCAGTCAGGGGAATCCCCTTATTTCTGTTTTGCATGAGGAATCCTAGAGCAGCCAATTGAGGCTCTCTAGTTTAATAGAAATCATGGAGAGAGTCTTATGAAGACTCTTCATAAGTGTTAATAGGGACTTTATCAGGTTATTTTGGTTGCAATTTCCAATTTTTAAAAATGTTTAGGTAATCTTCTCCACCTTCCCCAAGTCCTAATTCTTGTAGATTCATTAGTGTTGAACCATTGCTTTCTTATGTCTCAATTCTTTGTATATGCATTCTTTTCAGGTGTATTAAACAAACAAAAAAACCCTTCACAAGCCAGTCTGGGGGTTGTTATTTTCCCTCCGCCTCTTTTTTAGATATTTACTAGTGGTAACTTGACTCTTGTTAACATCAGTTTCTAACAAATTTTGGGGTAAGATTTTAAAAGCTTTATTATTTTTATGTGCTTATGTTTCTTTTCTGGCATTCAGTTTGAGCTAATGCTTTTTACTCCATACGTTTAGGTTTGTGCCTTCTGCCCTAAGTTTGGCATGTAGCCTACAAATTCCTATTCCTTACCAAGTGGGCTCTTAGCAGGTCTTAGTGAAGAAGTGTTAAGGAAGCTCGCCGCTCATGTTGAAAGGAAGCACACCTCGAATCATTCGGTTAGTTGGGAAGCAGCCAGTTCCTCCAAGTTTTCTGTATCTGTGGTTTTCAAACTTTGCTGCTTACTGGAGTGCAGCTTGAGCAATGGGGTATTTAAAAGTTTTCCAGGTATTTCCACAATGCAGCCAAGTTTGAGAACCACTGCTCTTGGGTGGTTAACCCAAACTGCTTCTGTCAGATTCTAGACTCTGTGCTATGAATCTGAATATAGGTGGCAAGAACGATTTATTTACCTTAAGGACATTATACTGGTCTGAGAATTTTAGAAACCAAGAACTGTTAGTCCAGTTAATAAGGTTGATACAGTATAGCCTCATTTTGATAGTTTTTTACAGGGAGTCATGTTTGGCTTGATTCCATACTGTGCTGGAACTAAACTGGGTTGGTTAGGAAGGGGTTAGGAAGATGCAGATCTAAGCTTTACTATTTTACCAATGTGTCTTATTACTTGTTGACAGTGAGACTCTGTGGAGCAGGTACTGTCTGTCCCTAGTTCTTCGTAGAGTGGCATATAGGTCCATTCTGATTATTCCTGTATCCCTGGCCTAGAGCAGTGTTTGACACATGAGATGGCTCTAAAGACAAACATTGGATGGGTACATGATTTCAAGAATGAATAAATAAGGCAGGTCACATGATTGTGTTGAATTACGCACACCAGAAGAACGATGGTGACAAGGAGGTATATCTTCATTTATCTTCATTGCTGAAAGTGGTGACATTGATTGAAGCTAACATTGTTTTCTAATATTTTCAGTTTCACTTTTACATACCAGACGAATATGAGTGGCAAATGGATGAAGCTAGTATTTTCTGCTAAAATATTGTTTTCTGTTTGACTTAAGAAAATGTGTCTGTCATCTTGGCTTAGTGAGTGATACTGCCCAGGTTGTAAAAGGGTTTAAAACAGTCCTTAGCAGACTTAGTATGTGACAAACTTTATATTTTTTCTTTTCTTTTTTAATCCTCACCCGAGGACATTTTTTCCATTGCTTTTCAGAGAGAGTAGAAGGGGGAGAGAGAGAGTGAAGGAGGCAACCATTCGATGTGGCCTGGGCCTGGGCGTGGGGCAGGGCCAGGCACAAGCCTGCAACTGAGGCACGTGCCCTTGGCCTGAATTGAACTCAGGACTCTTCACTCTGCAGGCTGACCCTCTAACCACTGAGCCAAACTGGCCAGGGCAAAAATTTACGTTATTTAGGCTAATACATCGCTGGTTTTCTAATATATCAATGTTTTACTGAAGATCTTAGAAATAGGTTCTGTAGTTTGTTCAAGTTGCATCCTTAGAGCTGGATTTTATGCCAGTAGGGGAGTATATTCTGAAGGGAAGGAAGGGTTGTGGTTTGAAAGGAACAACTGCAGTATTTTCTTTATTCTAAGGTATATTTTTCCATACATTTTCATATTATAATCCAAGTACCTCTTAAAACTTGTGTGTATGTTTAATGTAGTAGTACTTCTTTTTGGTTCTGAAGAGCTGTCATTAAATCAATAGTATCTCATAATTGTTCTCTTCATAATGATAAAGGTATTTCTTTTTCTTCATTGTTAGGTGTGAACTATTTTTCCTTTTCTCCTCCCATTTTGATGTTGTTAATGGTTATTTGGGTACTGAGTGCCAAGAAACTGGTATACAAGGACGCTGCTTCTTGAGAAGGATTGGAACTTAGTCCCCGCTGGGTACAGCTAACGTACATTGGAAACTTAATAGTGTGGGAAAGGGACAGCATTTCACTGGGCAGTAGTAACTAGTACTTTCAGGAAGGGCTGAGCTCCTCAGTGGTTAGGTTATCTCTGATTGATATGTGAAGGAAGTAGCTTTAAATCACCTTTCTAATACAGCCCTCCTTGTTTTCTGTAGGCCTTACCCTGAGTTCCCCCAACTCAGAGCATGGTGACTTAACTACTTAGAACAACAGAAGACCTCACCTTACTATTTTCTTCCCAGGACTATTTAAATACTTTTAAGCTTAGATATTACTTTGAGTTTTTTCCAAAGTGCCCCTACCTTTAAAAAGAAATTATTAGCTACTGGTACACTAATGTTGCATTATAAGCCACCTATAACAGTGGCTTACCACAATAAGCATTTATTTTTCTTATGTGTGGGTCAGTTGGGCTTTGCCTGTAGGCTTCAGATTGGGCTCAGGTTGGCTCCAGAATGCAGGCAACCTGAGAGTTGATGACTTTTTCACGGTGAGCCTGGTGAGCCAAAGTGAGTGCGAGGTCAAGCACATTTAAAAGTTCTCATGTTCCATTGCCCAGAGGATTCCATGTAGCCAAGGCAAAGTCTGAGCCACTCATTCATTCAAAATTCATATTTAGTAAATTCAAACATAGTTTTTTTTTAAAGCACTTACTAAGGTTCTCAGGATATAACAGAACAAAACAGATGCGGGCTCCTGACTTCTAGTTGGAGTTTTCTTTTCCTTACAGTTTTGATAGCTGCCTTCTCTTGAATAGCTGTGTGGTCTCGTCCCACTTCGAGAGTGGTTCTTGAGAGAGTAGAAGTTAGAAAAGGACAAAAGCTGCATCTGTGCATGT